CCTCCCCATCTCTCCCCATCTCTCCCATCTTTGCCCATGTCTCCCCATCTCTCCCCATCTCTCCCCATCTCTCCCGCATCTCTCCCGCATCTCTCCCCCAGGTGCTGCTCGTCGACCACGACGCACGGTTCCACATCGACCCGGCCCGCCTCTTCTCGACCAAGGCTTTCGTCAACGACGGCATCCTCCTCTTCCGCGACCGGATGCGGATGCAGATCCCCGGCAAGCCCGTCAAGGCGACACTGCACACGACACGGCCAAGACACGCCAACACGACACGCTCGCACGACACGCCCACACGAGCAAATGCCACGGCCCCCGTTCCTTTAGCATCGTCACACGCCCACGACACGCGCACGACACGCCACCCCCGTGCCGCGTGCACCGCAGGACGCGTCGCGCTTCCTGCGGCAGCTCGTCCGCCGCCGCCTCGCGTCGCCAGAGTTCCTGCGGTCGGTGGGCGGGCAGTACGCGCGCCAGAGGCTCCCGTGGCCGTGGCAGCCGTCGGCCGAGCTGCTCGCGTCGCCGATGCTCTCGGGCGACTCGAACCACGCGACCGACTCGTCCGTCCTTCTCGTCGGCAAGTCGCGCGCGCCTTCTCGGAGCCTTCTCGGAGCCCTCTAGGCGATCGACTCGTCCGTCCTTCTCCTCGGCAAGTCGCGCGCGCCTTCTCGGAGCCTTCTCGGAGCCCTCTAGGCGATCGACTCGTCCGTCCTTCTCCTCGGCAAGTCGCGCGCGCCTTCTCGGAATCTTCTCGGAGCCCTCTAGGCGATCGACTCGTCCGTCCTTCTCCTCGGCAAGTCGCGCGCGCCGCAGGTCATCGCGACGCTCTACACGCTGCACGAGCGGTACCGGCACGAGCTGTACGCCACTCTGCACGGCGAATCTTCTCGGAGCCTTCTCGGAACCTTCTAGGTACCGGCACGAGCTGTACGCCACTCTGCACGGCGAATCTTCTCGGAGCCTTCTCGGAACCTTCTAGGTACCGGCACGAGCTGTACGCCACCCTGCACGGCGATTCTTCTCGGAGCCTTCTCGGAACCTTCTAGGTACCGGCACGAGCTGTGCGCCACCCTGCACGGCGAATCTTCTCGGAGCCTTCTCGGAGCCTTCTAGGTACCGGCACGAGCTGTACGCCAACCTGCACGGCGACAAGGAGACGTACTGGCTGGCGTGCGAGCTGGTACGCCGAGAGATGGGGAGAGATGGGGAGAGATGGGCAGAGATGGCGACGAGGAGACGTAGCTGGCGGGCCGGGCGGCCTCTCTGCGAGCGTCTCGATCGACAGTGATGCACCACTGCACCACCACTCACACCGCACCACTCACACCGCTCGCTGGGACATGGGCTAGGTGGGCGGCCTCTCGCAGTAGGCAGCCCTCCTTACACCCACTCATCGCGACTCATGCTTGAGGATAGGTGGGCGGCCTCTCGTGCGGCGTCTCGCCGTACGCGGCGGGCGAGATGGGGCAGCTCAAGCAAGACTACGGCCCAAAGGACCCGGGCTGCGTGGTGGGCAACCTGATGCAGTTCCACCCCGACAACCCAAAGTGGATCGTCCACTGCAACTGCAAGTGCCCAGAGATAGCCGGGAGATTGCCGGGAGGAGCCGAGAGGGGCCGAGAGGAGCCGAGAGGAGGCGAGAGGAGGAGAGGAGCCGAGAGGAGCCGAGAGGAGGCGAGAGGAGCCCAGAGGGGCCGAGAGGAGCCAAAGTGTCCACCTGCAGCCGCAAGCACGCGTCGTGGGCCTGCCGTGATGCGCTTCATCGTCAAGCAGTTGACACCAGTCCCTCCCCCCCTCGCCGCTCTTAGGCCGCACGCCTCGTGGCTCTACACGCACGTCTCGACCCCCCAGAAGTACGTGGCGCTGGCCAAGAGCCTCTCGTCGTCGCACGACGGATACCGCAACCTCGCCGGCAACCGCTTCACCCTCGCCATCGAGCCGTCGCCTTTCTCGAGCGAGCCCTCTCGGCTCCTCTCGGCTCCTCTCGGCTCCTCTCGGCCTCCTCTCGGCAGCCGCCGGCTGCGCGTCGACTTCCCCGCCGAGGAGCCGTTCGACCGCGCCAAGCTCGCGCTCTCGTGGAACCGGACCGACTCGCCGTACTACGACTGCACGACCACGCAGTACGAGCCGCTCGAGCTGGCCATGGCGCGGCAGCCCGAGACGAACCGGCAGCTCAACGCGGCGATGCTGTGCCAGCTGCACGGCCTGCGCTGCAGGCCGCCCGGCCCCTCCCCCCTCCCC